TTAACATTTTACATTAGTAAGGTACATTTTTCAGTTAATGAAGTAGGGTTGGTCTTTTGTTAGTTGAAGCCCATATAATATTCAGACTTACTTTCAAATCTCACCTAGGATGCTACATCACATGTAGTCATTCTCTGTGTCAAAAAAATATCATGAAGTTGCTGATACTTGCTGGTATCTGATGTAAGCCAAACTAATCAAATCATTGCATGAAAAGAACTTAGCAGTTTACCAAAGGGTGATTTAAAATTTTAGCCATTAAAGGAAATTTTGACAACTGATGTTTTCATAATTTTTTCAACAAAGCATCATTAAATAATTTAGCTAGTAACTGCAATCTACAGTGTCCAATCACAAGAAAACAAGCTGACAGTTGTGGATTTATGTTTCAGATAGTGGATATGAGAGAAGAAATTGCACGGGAACATACAACGGACAGTGATGAGCACGTGAGTCCTAACGCTAACCCATGGATCCTTGATGATGACAGGCAGGATTTTCACAGGGGCAGGCAAAATCCCTAGTGCATTTTGGTTTCCAACATTAACAATAACAGTAAATATATTTTCCCAGTTGCCGGGAAAAGCAATTGTTAATCATACAATACCCTTTGTAGTATGACAAATCGAGTGCAAAAATGTAGGGATATATTTGTCAGAATGTTTACTAATCAGGAGGGAGACCACAGAATAGAGTCTGGGCCAAGTATGTGGAAATTCTGATCAGCCTACTGTCTCTGTCCACAATGTCCATAAGGTGATTTAACTACTAGAGTAAATGCACCTTTTAAAACTAAGTGTTTCTCAAACCTTTGATAAAGGAACGCTTTTATCAAAAAGGGTACTGATGGTATGACATATTTTCAAAATGTTGTGGCACATAATACAATTCTAATGGGAAGCTGATCAACAACTTAATAAATTTTAGTGTATTAGAGGAAATTAGTGAGGTACTACCTCAAATGTTTTTATTTCTTTATAGAATTTATTAAGTTCAGAAATATCTGTCTCTCTTACACACACACACACACACACACACACACACACACACACACACACACACCTACCATACCAGAACAGAAATGGGAAATGTCACAAAAGCATTACTAATGTACTGAAAGTACACATCAGAAAGCTTTAAAGCATTTTAGAGAGGATGAGGGCCCACATCAATATAAATGACTAAGAAAAGAGAAATTAAGTTATTTCTGCTCTCCTAAAGGGCTCCTGAGCACTGGTCTGAAGTGGGCCCTCTCCATGACTGAGCTGATTCAACATCTTTCTCTTTGGTCTCCTGATGAGATGGCATGGAAAGTGTATGTGGTGCTCACCTGGCTCCCCCAAAGAAAGGGAAGGCCTGCTGCAGTCACTGTCTGTCTCCAGAGGCAGGACTGTGCAGTCCTTTGCTACTCTGAGCTAGCTTCATCAGAAACCAGTTTCTACAGCACAGTAACATGTCAAAAGGAGGAGCAAAAAAGCCCTTGTCTACTAACTGTGTAGAGGTGGCAGGAGAGGAGGCTTGACTGACATATGAGGTGGCTAAAATTTGCAATGTGGTTTCCAAGGAAAACCATATCATAACAGATAAATCATTTTCTAGTTCAATTCCATCACCGATAAATAATCTGGGGTACATTATCCTCTATATAGCATCATTATATTACAATATATCCCCTCTTCCCTCATTCCCCATCTGTCGCTATGTAGTGTAGGCTGCCCTCGAGATTGTGATCCTCATATCTCAGTCTCCTGAATGTTGGGATTACAGACAGACCTGTGCCACCACATATAGCTAATAATATTTTTCTGAAAAGCAAAAAAAAAAAAAAATCATTTTGCATCCTAAGACTTTGAACACTAAATAACGCAAAGAATTAATTTTTTGGCAAATTATGGGAGGCTATAATTAGTTTCTGAAAGCCTTTGAATTGCTTCTAAGATGTATTCATAGTTCAGGCAACAAAGTTATGTTTCTGTCATTTAATATTTTATTATTTTTTCAACTTGATATCCCCACTTGAATTCTCTTTGAGACAGGGTTTTATGTAGCCCAGGTTGGCCTATAACTCTCTATGTCCTTGAACTCCTGATTTTCCTGCCTATACTTCTGGTGTACTGGGATTATAGGTATGTGCTACCATGCCTGGCTTATGCCCAGATAAACTTTAAAAAAAAATATTCTTTGAAAATGCCACACAATGTCTTTTTGTCACACTCAGACCCCCTCCCCCATCTACACCCTCCCCTTACTATCCCCCAACTTCATGTCCTCTATTATTTTTTCTGTGCACTCTTTTGCAATGATCCCTGAGCCTTGGAAGGAGAGGATGTGATACAGGCATCCCACTGAGGGCCGAGTACACCACAGTCTCTTATTTTCTGCATGTTGACCAGTTGTGGGTCTTTGTGTTAACTGCCATCTGCTGCAAGAAGATACTTCTCTGATGAGAGTTGAGAGATGGACTAATCTATGGGTATAATAATAAGTCATTAGGAATCAGTGTAATATTATATTCATTTAACAGAATAATAGTAGTAGGTTCTCCTCTATGGCCTGGGACCCAGCTAGCGGCAAGTTATTGGCCTGGATAACAGCACTAGGTATGGGCCCCATCATGTGAAGTGCTCCTTAAATCCAATCAGAAAGTGGTTGATCACTCCCAACCACCATTGCACTATATACCCACTTTCTTAGAGAAATTCCTAATATAAACAATTTTTTAAGTTTTGATTTGGAAATCTAGCATAGCATGCATAAAATGAAAAAATGCCTTAAAAATAAATACATTTTACTTAAGTCCCATTTATTTGTTTCTGTTAGTTGGCACAAAAATAAATACTTCAAATACTCCCAAGATATGAAGGACACTATACCAAAGGAATGGACCATTCCCAGTGAGCCTGAGGGGTCTGGCTGTAGTGCAGCAACAGGAGCCTGTAGGCTACAGGGACACTTTCCTCTTCTGAAAGCTAGAAGCAACCCAAAGAGGCAACATTAGGGAAGAAAATGTGCTTCAAAGAACGTAATGAAGAAAGATAAGGCTCTAAGCACCTTTACAATGCTCTTATAAAAATCCATTAATTCTGGGCTGGCGTGATGGCTCAGTGATTAAGAGTGCGTACTGCTTTTGCAGAAGACTGGAGCTTGGTTCCCAGCACCCACATCAGGTGGTCCACAACCGCCTGTAACTCTAGTTCCAGAGGATCTGATACTCTCTTCTGGACTCTGAGGGTAGCTGTACACACATGTGCACATTCCCTGGCCCCCCTATACACACAATTAAAAATAAAAATAAACCTTTTTTAAAAATCCACTAATTCTTCTGTACAGAAATCCAGAGAAGAGAAAGGTAAAACTAGCTGCACAAAAATCAAATGATAGGTGTTATATAATGGGTTTCTCTGATGTGTGAAAACCTGATCAGAAGTCCTCTGTTCTTTGACGGCTCCTGCGCTCTCCTTCTTTAGTATCAGTGTTGCTGCAGCAGCTCCTTAGCTATTACCTAGACTGCTTCAGATGGATGTATGAGGCCTGTGTTAGCATCAGTACTTCACTCTTGCTGCACTACAATGCTTTCACTGCTGTATCATGAGGCATTACCACAAATAAGTTACCACTCCACTTCATAAGTAGAAATTAAAGTGTACTTTGCTCAGCTGAGCTTTGCTGTTCTAAATTATATTTGTTCATTCACCTGCCAATTTGAAAAATCTAGTAATTTGTAAAGGACTTTCTGGTTATTAATTCAGATTGGTAATGTTATAACTTGATTCAAAAGCAAAATATACTACAGCATTCCATGGGCAGAAGGCCAACTCTACAGTGATATGATAAGGTCACTTTATGGATACCCAAATAAAAATTACTCTCAAATTATTTTATATATTGGAATTAGTTTACAAAAGGAACTATAAAGTTAATGAGAAGACTGTAGGTCTTTGGTTTAGAATATAACAACAACAGAATAGTAATTTTAATATGAATCCTTGATATTGTCAGAAAGTTATAGTCTTTGGGACTGGAGAGATGGCTCAGTAGTTATAAGCACTGGCTGTTCTTATAGAGGACCCAGGTTCAAATCCCAGTACCCCATGGTGGCTGACAACTCTCTACAACTCCAGTTCCAGGGGATCCAATTCCCTCTTCTGACCTCTGTGGGCACTGCATGACATAGGGCACTGACATAACAAACAGTCAATACACTAATACACATAAAATAAAAATAAAAATAAAAAAGAAAGTTATAGCCTTCAATTTGGAGAACCAAGCCAAAACATTAACAAACAAAGCCACAGAGTCCCTAGAAATTACAGGATAATCCAGAAATTGGAAAAAAGGTGAAGGTTAACCTGCATCTACCTGGCTGACCATGAAAAGCCCAGAAGCAGCATTAAGGAACACAAATAATGCTACTATAGATGAAGTAATGGTGAAAACCTGCAGAGAGTTTTCTACTGAAGCTTTAGTGGACCTGAAATAGCACAGCCTAACTGTCTTACTAGTGATATGATTGGTTAGTCAGTATTACTACAAAACCAAGCCAGTGCTGTGAGCTGACAAACGTTTCATATAACCTGGGGATTCTCTTCCAGGTCAGCCACACTGATGATTCTGGCTATTGTCAGGGCTGCCTCCTCAGAGGGACATTCTCCTTTGGAGGATGGGAGGCTGCTGTACTATGAGAAGCAGATGATTCAGGTGTTCCAAAACAGCCTGGGAGAAGCTGCCAGCAAAAGAGAAAAAAAAAAAAACGGAGGATGCCTTACTATGTTTTCTATGATGTAATCACTATTTCATGCCTATAAAACCTTAAAGAAAAAGAAGTTCCTTGGAAATCGTATAATGAAACCCATTATTTTATATGCTAACTAAAAGAGTTAAAAATAAACAAGAAGAAGGGGGACAAAACAGGGTAATGGAACACATGTGACATGAAAGGAGGAGGAGGGACTATCTGAAGAGGATCCAGAATTCCAGGTAGAACCTTTTCTAAAGGAGAATATACTGCATATTAATATCCACTTTCCAAAACCTTTATTATTATTGCATGTGTATATGATGTGTAGGAACTTGTACCACATTGTGCATGTGAAGGTCAGAGGACAACATTCCATTTTCCATTGTCTTCTTTCACCACAGGTTCCGGGAATTGAACTCAGGTTGTCAATCTTGCACGACAAGCCTTTTACCGTCTGAGCCATCTTGCTGGTCCAGAATCCATCCTCTGGAATCCCTGGTGGGACTTTTCTTTAGAAAACAAAACCAGATATAGGTGCTGGCTGATGACTTCACCAACATCACATGAAATGACTTTTGAGTTTGCCATACAGTCTGAGTTTCTTTGTTGTGAGCAGCTGTGCCAGGCCATTGAGAAACACCAGAAAGATGGTCATGGACATGACAATCACGTAGTGGCTGATGCTGCAAAAGAAGAAAAAGAAACATGTTGCAGGCAGAGAGAACATTCAAGAGGAAAAAGCCCAAGATTCTCCAAAGTGTTTTAAATGGCTATATAAAATACACAGAATTTAAAAAATACATAAAATTAGAAAAGGTACTAATGATTTAAAAGTAGATACCAGCTGGGGTAATGGCTCAGTGAGTAAAGTGCTTGCTGAGGAAGCATGAAGACCTGAGTTCAGATCCCCAGCACCCATGTAAAAAGCCAAGTGTGGTCGAACATGTATAATTCCAGTGCTGGGGGATGGAGACAGAAGGATTCCAGGAACTTGCTGGCTAGTCAGTCCAGCCAATCTGTGAGCTCTTGGTTTAATGAAAGACCTTGTTTCAAAAACTAAGGTGGGCAGTGATACAGGAACATATCTGACATTGATCTCTGGCCTTGGAATGTACCCCTACCCCCACATAAAATAGGTAACATGTTTTTATGGTGATATGCACACATTTCATTGCAGCACTCAGGAAGCAGAGGCAGGGGGATCTCTGTGGGATTGAGGCCAACTTGGTCTACACAGTGAATTCCAGGTCAGCTAGGGCTATGGGAAGACCTTGTTTCAAACTAACCCCTCCATTAGGTAATTAAAAATGTATGAGTATCTATATATTTCCTTGGCAATGTATTAACATTAGTTGTATATGTTAATTACGTATTAATTTTAAACCTAATAGCATAATCATCATGCGGAGACAGTGTTGAATGCAGTGTTCTGAGACACTGGTGACAACACAGAACACCATGAAGGGCCTGGTTGGTATTAGCAGTGCTTGTGCTTTGCCATCAGCAGAAATGAAATTTCAAAAGCTTTTAAAAATTAATATCCCTTTAATTTTTGGACTCTGTAGCTTGTCGACAGACCCCATGCTTGAGCATGCCATCTTGTGCTCTGAAGTAAGGTAGAAGCACCATGACAAAACTACCACCAGCCACTAAGAAAGAAAAAGGTTACTCAAAGTCAAAATCAGGGAAGTGAGTTTTAATGAAAGAAAAAAAAGGGAAAAGGGGCACATCTCTTTATTAATCTCACAATCAAAGTCACTATCTTCCAGACTTTTGGTAAAAGACAGGTTAATAAATACTAGTAAAATCACTCAATCTTCATCTAACAACAATAGCAAATGTTCAATCACCCCATCCTACATTTTAATATGTACGTGTATGGGTATGGAGACCAGTGGGTCAACCTGAAGTGTTCCTTGGGAGCCATTTACCTTAATTTTTAACACCCTCTCTCCACTGGGACCCAGGGCTCAAGATTTGGCTCAACTGGCTTGTCAGTCAGTCTCAGGGCGCCTCCTGTCTCTACTTCCCTAACCCTGGCATTACAGGTGCATATTGCCAGGCTAGGCTTTTTTTTTTTTTTTTTTAATGTGGGTGCTGAGGATCAAAGCCATGTATCCATGCTTGTGCTGCAAGCACTTTACCAAATGAGCCATATCTGTAGTCCCCAAATTTCCTTTTTTAAACACGAAAATTATACTGTCCCTAGAGAATATGGCTTGATAACATATTTAGATGTATGTAAAGAAATGTAGGCTACAAATCTGACAGGTGTGGAATAAAGCAGAGGTTTCACACAGTCCAAGCTAAGCTATTACCCATGCTTGTGCTGCAAGCACTTTACCAAATGAGCCATATCTGTAGTCCCCAAATTTCCTTTTTTAAACACGAAAATTATACTGTCCCTAGAGAATATGGCTTGATAACATATTTAGATGTATGTAAAGAAATGTAGGCTACAAATCTGACAGGTGTGGAATAAAGCAGAGGTTTCACACAGTCCAAGCTAAGCTATGTATACTAGCAATTTATCTGTTTTCAATGTCTATTAGCCACACTTAACTATACTCTTACAATAGATTTGCATGTTTTATATTCTTCAACAGAGAGAGGGGAAAAAACTGTGTCAGGTCTAACTCCACACCAGTGTGGGAAAGGGAGGCCAGTATTTTCTCCCCTTTCTCTGAGCAAACAGGATAGGCATCACTATGTTGGCTAAACAACCTCCTACCCAAGAGTGGCCCATGGTAGAGGTCAGGGCACAAAGCCTTGTGACATGAGGGAAGGTAGCTGACGGGTGCAAGTAAGCCACCATTACAGGGGTGAAGAGTCTAAAGGGAAATGGATGTATGGCCTGGAAAGTCCCCTTCCCACCTTCCCAGTAACTCCTCCCCACAGAAGAGCAGCCCTCCCCACCTTAAATTGCTGACTTTAACTCCACTTTGGCCTGCTGTCGGGTAAGACCCCTCCAAAAGGCCTTCCATTCTGTGCACTTTTTTTCCCCTTCTGGTAATGTGACAGCTCTTAAGTAAGAACCATGAATTGTAATGTTTTATAATTTGCTAAGACTTTCTTCAGGGAAGGCACTGGTTGGCAATTCTTATGTAGAATCTTTCCTACGTTTACCTTATAAAGTAAATTTGAAACAGAAAAAACAGAGTTGGCTAATGAGAAATCAAGAATGAGATCCAGTGATATTAGAAATACAGTGCTGGTCCAGGCTAGACTTATGACCAGAAAAGAAAACAAAACCAGAGTCTTAACTAATGAATAGTACCTACACTACAGTAAGATTTTTAAAACTTTGATTTGTTTTCACCATAAAAATAATGTAATGGGATAATACACCTGGAACTTTATCTGCTTAAGCTTCTCTGTGCAAGTATTTTTATTTTTACCTGGAATGAATATGGGTCTTACCTACTAATTAATGAAATCACTGATAATTATATTTACTTTAAAATGAAAATGACTGTAGGACTATTATTCTTAAGATGTGCTAGGAGTAAAATTATTTTGATATTTTTAATTTTAGCACAATACTTTTGAAAAATTCATGCTCAAATTGGTAAGATCATATTATTAAAATTAAGTGAGCCACGTTGACATTTTACTGCACCGAATTTGGTACTTGGTTGTTTGATCTTTAAAATCTTCCAAAGGCAACTAAAGTTTATCATGACATAGAGATTCTCAGAAAACATGCTTTTAGAAAACCAGAAATGTTTTTAAAAAAATCAGCAGAACTTTCTCTTCTGGAGATGGAACAGATATATGCTCCCTGTTCCCTCTACTAAGACTAAAAACTTTGCACATTACATGTGAACAGGTACAAGTAGACTCCAAATGGCAGAAGAAAGGCAGCAGCTGGCTTGGTTCTTAGGACCTGGGAATGCCACAGTGGTGAGTTCCTAGATCTTCCTTTTCTCTCTCATATATACCTGACTTGCCAGAAGAGGCAGGTGGCTCAGATGTGCAATGGGAACAGGTAAACATGCCCCAAACCAAAAATATCCCCACTGCAAGAGCCTGTCTCTAGTAAAGAGATAGACAAGGAAAGAGGCAGTCTTTGAAGAAAGAAAATGTTTAAGTATTAACCATTCTGCCTTAGCCATACACCACAGAGAACCTGGTAGCCACACCTCTACCTATCCCAACAAAGGCAGAGTGGGGTGCCTGAACTTCTAGCCTGAACAGCTTGCCTTGGGCATTCCAACCCCAGCTGTCCTCTCTGTGCTCCCAAGCCTTGGTACCAGTGCAGGCTGAGTTAGGGAAGCTGGGATAGGGTCAAAGGAGGCCTGGAGAGTGTCAGGCATATGCTCATTTCCAGCAAAGAAATGGAATACACAAAGAAGAACCTACAGACATTTTAGATTTCAAAGACACAAGAACCAAAACAAAACTTAACAGATGGGTTTAATAGTAGAACTGGGGGGGGGGAAAGTAAAAATTTGCAAACATGAGGATAAAAGAGTAGAAACTACAAACAGCCCTTCCACCCCAATAAGGTGTACCCCCAAAGATCCGAGGACCATGACACAAGATCTAACACTTATGCATTGGAATTCCAGAAGAAAAAAGAAAAGAGGGAAGGACAATACTCTTTGGAATAGTGGTTGAAAGTGCTGAAATGTGCCAAAGACAAATAACTAATAGACTGCAGAAGGTGAGGCAAGTTGACTAGAAACTCAACGTAATTCACACAAATCCACAGTGAGCTTTTGACAACTAAAAGAAAGTTGACAGCGGCAGAGACCGATGGCACCTTGCCTATAGGGAAAAAAATTTGAACAATAGCAGCCTTCTCCTCAGAAAACATGGAAGCCAGAAGGGAACACACCATGATCAAGTGCTGGAAGGGTTGGGGTGGGATTCTAAACTGCCCACCCAGAATTCAATGAAAGTATACTTTTTCCTTGAAGGAAAAAGAAAGTAGATATTCTCAGGTGAAGGAAAATGAAGAGAATTTTTTTTTTTCTTCAGACCTACCCTGAAAGAAATCTAAAGGAAGAGAAAATAACAAGAAATCTGGCAAAATCATGAAGGAAGAACTTTACAGGAAAAAGTATGAATACATACAATAGGTTTGCCTTTTGTACTTTATATTTGATAATTGAAGATATTTGATAATAAGACTAACTCTGGTGTGGTTTCAAATGCACATGGAAGAAATGTTGAAGGTAGTTTCATTACAAATAAGGGTGGTGAGGAGATATAGAAGGGCATAAACTGATAAAACAGAACCAGTAGACTGTGATTAACTGTGTATATATAATATGCCTTGAGCAACCAACCAGCTAAAAAACCACACAAAACACTGACAAATACTGCAGGTAAGTAAAACTGGAATGCTGTGAAATTTTCAAAAAGGAAACACAAAACAAAACAGAAGCAAAAAGCAAATAGCAGATTTAAGTCCTAATATATTAATAAGCACATTAAATATTGTCTAAATACACAAATTAAATAAAAATTTGGTAAAGTTGACTAAAAACATGACTAAACCGTATGTTGTCTACGAGATAATCAATTCAATTGTAAGGATAAAGGCAGATTAAAGTAACAAGATGGAGAAGACAGAGGCTAACTATCCCTTATCGAAAACGCTTAGACAAGATTTATTTTAGATTTTATTTTTTGTTTGTTTTTGTAATACTTGGACATACATAATGAGATATCCTAA